AACCGAAGGACATCGAAAAACTATGCTTTTTACCTGGGAAAGCGCTGCTGTTGCAAGGGTTTTTAATGTAGAACACTCACCGCGCCGCTTTGCTGAAGAAAAGCAAAAAGCAAAACAAAAAAACAAAAAATGCGCTTCGAATTTCTTCGGTGGACCACCACCGTGCTAAAAGAAAAACACTTTCTACTTTAACCATCAAAACGCATAAGAAAAACAGAACACACACAATGACCTACATCTGTGTGTTAGGAACACGCTGGGCGGTGGTCCGTCCAAAAAATTGAAGGCGATGGTCCGTCCAAAAAATTGAAGGCGGTGGTCCGTCCAAAAAAGTTGATGGCGGTGGTCCGTCCAAAAATTTTGATCGCGGTGGTCCGTCCAAAAAGTTGTGGCCGGTGCCCAAAAAACGCGGTGCACCCTGATGAACAAGAGGCTATATGTACAGTAGATGTACGGTAATGTACGGTAGATGTACGGTAATGTACGGTAGATGTACGGGAATGTACGGTAATGTACGGTAGATGTACGGTAGATCTCCCGTACATCTACCGTACATCTACCGTACATTACCGTACATTCCCGTACATCTACCATACATTACCGTACACCTACTGTACATATAGCCTCTTGTTCATCAGGTTACATCAGATCTTTTGAGGGACTGTGTGTGTGCGTCTTGTGATGCGTCACGGACAGGCAAGGATCTACTCCTCAATTTTGGGGCGTGACCCAGCTTAATGGCTTCTAGTTGTTCCATGGCCTACATAATGGATTCGTTACACTATATTCTACTACGTGTGCGTGTTGCATGTTTACGTGTTTCTGTGTGCAAAGTACTACTCTGTCGTACGGGTGGACCACCACCCCACAAATTTTTCACGACTAAAACATAAAAAAACAATCGCGCCCATAAAAACAGAAAAAAATGTTTCCAAAACAACACAAAATACAAAGATTTGCTAATCAGTCTCAGTTCTACACAAAAAAGAAGAGTACACAAAAAAACATTAAAAAACGCTTCTCTGCAAACCCGTCCACAAAAAAAACATAATTTTTTCAATGAAAAAACCTAAGTTCCCTAAGTAAGTTGTAAGTGATTTAGCACTAATTTAGCACCCTCCAACATAAACTAGGATAACTTACTTATATATATCGAAAGTAATTTGTAACTGCAACGTAAATACCACCAAGAACTTAGAACACTTCACAATCTTAGACCAGCTTACAACATCAGTTAACCCATGTTATAACATATGTTACGGCACTTTACAAGTTCTCCAACTAGGGGGGCCCATCTTTGTTGGTACAGGTAAATCGATACTGCGAAAGTTTGAAAAGAGACTCATTGTCGACGAAGCTACGGAGATCGTGGCCTTGCTTTTGAGCCTTGACAAGCCTTTCTTGTCGCCAAGCGGGATTGTGCCATCCGGTTTTTTCCTAGCGTAAAGGCGGTATTGGAGGTGGTCCGTCGTTGTGCCACTGCGTAATTTAGCGAAATTTTCGCGAGGAGTGATATCGGGGGCACATTTTTCCAAGTGAGCGTCACGACTCCGTTCGTATTGGGACATGGGCAGCCAGGGCAGGCCCTTACCACACTTGGAGCAAGTCCAGTGGCGCGATTTCCACGGCAGGTCCTGAACCGGAACCAGGGGGTAAATGGACCGACGGTCAGCAATTTGTTCTTTTTCGCTGGAGTGGGCCTTATTGATATGGCGCGACTTTTTGGTACACCAAGCATTTCTAGTACCGGCCGAAAAGCTATAGCCACACAAGTTACACTTCCAGTGGAATCGTTCAGGGATGAGGACATTACCAGGTTGTTTACCTATCAAACGACGTCGCGTCGTGCTGAAGGCAGTCGAAGCGGGCGCGGAAACCAACTCGGGTCCCTGTTTGGAGGCCAAAACCGGGGTCTTATCAGTCGAAGTCCCGAAACCTGCAAGAAGTCCCCGGAGAACTTCACAAGATGTCAAACACCTATGGATCTGCGACGTGTCAGTGCCAGATCGAGGCGGTCGGCATTTTTGTGCCTGCGTCACCAAATGTCCCAATTGGTCCGCGCGCTCCAAGTCTGAAGCTTATGGGATTGGACCATGGTGTGAACAGAAGGAGTACCAGGACCCACGTGGACGACCTCTCTTTGGGATGGGACCACCCAACTCTTGTCAACAGGGGGCTCAGAATTCACATTGGGGGGTTGAAAGGAATGAACGGTGGGAGTGCCTTGCAACCCATAACCCCCCGGAGGACCCGTATCTGGGGAATCAGGGGCACCCAACAAGTCCGACTGACGGATCTTCTTTTGGGGGGCAGGTAAAGTCAGAATTCTCTCAGGAGTACCCTGGGAAGAAACCACACTAAGATCATGACCCGGGGCATGACCCGAAAAGACCGACGAACGAGAAGTCGAGCCAACCCGAACCCCGTCGACACTGGAAGACGATTTTCGTAAACAAAGATTCTTTTCTGGACTGCGGGGCCGCTTCTTTGCCGCCCCTTGCACGAGGGGAAAACCCGATTCTGCAAATCAAACTCAGCTTTCTTCGTCGTCGGCGCGGTTCCAGAACCCTGCTCACCACGCTCAACACGCTCACCCTTCTTCGACGTCAGTTCTGAGTGCTCACCCTTCTTCCACGTCAGTTCTGAGTAAACACCCTTCTTCAACGTCAGTTCTGAGAGCTTGAAAAGATTTTTCCATTCGGCAGCCGCAAAACGAAGAAACTTTGTGTTCACACGCCTCCAAATAAGTCAGCAAGATGACTTCTCGATGCATGTTGATCAAACTCAGTATGTAAAGGACATCAACCCGGTCAACATCGATAAAGAACGGAGGAAACATCCAGAAGAACCAATCATCGAATCAGAAAGGCAAGCATTTCGAGGGCTCATCGGCAGTCTCCAATACGCAGCCGTCAACACCCGTCCCGACTTGGGAAGTCGGTTGAGCATGTTGCAAAGCCGGATCAATAACGGACAAATACAAGACTTAGTTGATGGCAACAAGCTACTGCATGATGCCAAAGTCAATACATCCCGAAGGAAGACATTAGATTTGTGGCATTCTCAGACGCATCGTTTGCATCAGAGAAAAATCAAGGAGTTTTCCCTTGAATGGGTGCCTCAAAATGAATGGGTGCCTCAATGCCTGTGCTGCCATAGCCACGCGAGAGCTAGTACTAGCTCTCCATGGGTACATGACATGATGAATCCTAAATCACACCTTGAGGATGGCCCACATGCGGTGACTATAGTGAAATTCAGAACCGAAGGATGTGAACGATTTGAACTAAAAAATTCAAAACTACTTATGATGTTGTCACATGTTTTTAACCCGATTTGCGCGCCCGCATGCATGCATACTAGTTACTAGATGGAACCCAGACCGCGGAAACCTTCCAACTGTGTCGCCTCAGCTTCCAAAGTAGCTGTGACAGGATCTGCAGTACACCAAGGAAGGTTGACTTTTCATGTCACAGTACATAGCCATCATCACGTCATTGCAAGTGGCTTCACTGTAGTGACAGCGCTTGGGCCATCTTCAAGGTGTGATTGACGATTTCATCTCCACTAGAGTATAGCCATCATCACCTCATGATTAAGCGTGGCTTCACTATAGTCACAGCGCGCGGGCCATCTTCAAGGTGTGATTGACGACAGCATCTGGTAGCTGAGCTTTCCAGGCACCCATTCATTTTGAGGCACCCATTCAAGGGAAAACTCTTTAATCATGCATCACATCAAGGACTCATGATCATGTGGTTACTCGACAGTACATGCAATTGGATGCTTGGAGATAAAACTCTTTCAAAGTTGCCACCTGCTTTCTCAGCCTTCAAAGATGAGCCGGAGCTTGAAGATCCGAATCAATCTCTCAGTGAAAATCTCCTTAAGCTTCAGGAAATTGGTAAAGCAGATTCACTGATAGCAACAGATTGTAAAAGCTTGTTTGATCTCATAAGTCGCACTGCTCCACCAGCATGCCAAGAGTTCAGGACCCTCTTGCAGGCACGGTTGATCAAAGAACACCTGGCCACAGGCGTTGTAGTAAGATGGGTACCATCAAGCGCTCAGAGCGCTGATTGTTTGACGAAGGTAATGGATACAACAACCGTGCGAGAGGTTCTAAGCATTGGACGATATATAAACTAAAGAACGAGGAAGAGATACTCAAGAACAGATCCGATCGGAAAGCAAGGCTCCAATGGTTTCGTAGCCACGGAGCAGATCCACCAGCTGATGGATGTGGGAAAAGCCAAGATGTCCCCATCCAGGCAGTCGATTCCGACCTCCCTCCAGATAATTTGAACGCAGGCTTTTGATTCCTTTTGGCGGTTGTCAAATCGACAAATGTTCGAGCTTTCAAGGGTGCAGATCTTGTTAGTGAGGGTAACAAGTCCTATGTGGGATACTCTTTTGACTCTTTTGAGTATAGGGTGAGCCGAAAGTCACAACCACTTGACAAAGAAATATCAAATAGATCGACATGATCACACTGTTCGACGCTAAAGGCGAAACGTGCTGAACAAATCTTTTAGAAAACTTACGAATGTCAATCGACCAGAGGTCTGCATGTCACATGTTTCGAGCCTGTTGTCCTGCGGCCATGTGCTTGTTCACCCCCAGGGAGGGAGGGTGGTTTACAGTTCGAGCCATCGTTGACCAGGGACGGTCTCGTGACGCAGGGCGTCGAGGAGGAAAAGGCTGCGGAGGAAGGGTGCAGGGCACTTTGGTGTTGGAGAAGGTCGGACCTTCAGGTATTCATTGGAATTCACTAGTTTCAGGGAAACTGCATCTTATTTCTGTGAGCCCATCACCGGACGGTCGCGGTTACCAATCCGAAATCCTGGTGGATTCGAGAATTCTTATATATATATATATATTTATATATATATAACATGCTTTCTTGTTAAAACCTATTTGTACATGTGTTTGTGTTTGTGTTTGGGTCTATCTATCACAATGTAGTAGGTAAAAATCACCAGTGTTGCCAGTCCACAAAGGCTTGGGTCGACAATGCCGTGCAGGCCACTTTGAGCACTCCAAGGAGGACAAGGCAGGTGTCTTTGCGTGAGATGTATTCTTCTCATGTCTAAACTCTGCATCGATCAGGACTCAGCAGGCAGGGTCAAACATATTTATATATTTATACAACAAATGCAATGGTGTTCACAGAGTTCGGTTGAGCCTAGGGCGGAACAGAACATGCTTCTTCTCACATGTTTTGCGAGCGCCAGGAGATTGCATTTCCACCTACACCGACGGTGAAGATTACTCGGTCCACCAGCGACTGAGGTGCTTGGGTGTTGCATTCTTACAGCAGATCATTCTATCCTCAAGTGCAAATGAGCTTGGAGTAAATGCATCGTGGTGCGTTCTTTCTTCTGTCAGTGCATGTGTGCGCTTTGGAGCCTGGGTGCTGGTGCCGCTGCAGGGTGCAGCTGCCAGATGTTGGTGTTTTCCCGTGGAAACGAAGGCGGCTGTTTGATCAAAGAGAGCTGCTAGTGACGGTGTCTATGAAGGAAGATTATGAGAGCTGCGTTGAACTTGGCCTAGGTGTTTGACAAGATCTCTTTACTTCCAAGGGTTAAACATGTTAAAGGGAACTGCCTCGTTTTGGAACGCAGCACGAATCTCGTTTGGGAACGCGGGAGGTTAATCTTGTCTTGGAACGTGTGCCTTTTTTGTTGATTTGTTCTTCTGTCGCGGTAAGCGTTCAAGGCTTGTTGTTTCTTTAAATCGTGTGATATGTGGTTTCTATGATTTTTTGTTCACAGTCAGTGTACTTTTGTTCTGCTTTGGCTCAAGATGCGTGGGCGATCATTGATGATTCCAGTCGTGATCATGACAACGTTTTCACAACCAGAATGGGTGTAACAGCGGTGATGTTCATGGGTTTGATGCAGATGGTTAAAAATAGTTTTGTGAAACACAAGGGTTGCTCCCTTCAATTGCGCTCTCCGTTTCAAAGGTGCACATTGATCACGAAACAGTGAGAGATAGCCAGAGGATGCCACAGGTATTGAGACCTCCGGACACAGATGAGCCGTGCCAGCCAATTGCACAGGTTTGCTTCTAACCTTTCAATCATTACCTGGACATGCTATATCAGTGATTGCCAATGTCTTGGTTTTGCTCATGATCCCATGTCTCACCTGACACCGGAGTGGGAAGTTGTTGGTGTTTGTATGTGGATCCAGATGCTACCTGCACTTGGACCATGCTTAAGCTCTGTATATAGTGATGCTCGAGGAGGTGGAGCCTAAAGGCAAGACACCTTGAAATTTACATGATTTCAATGTTCTGGCTATGAGGGCTGATAGTGACCAGCGACAAGCGAGTTCAAAGACTCGCAGTGTAGGATGGCATTTGTGCTCTTTGCATTGTGCTCTTTATCTTACAGTCACAATATCTTTCCATTCACATTCTGATCTTTGTATGTTCGCCAGTCTGTAGGTTTTCGACCAAGTTTCAGAGAGCAAGAAATCCTGCACACAGCTGCCACTGTTTTTTCTGGGGAGCTATCTTTGTTCTGAGCCTGAGCTAGCTAGGATGTAGCTGCAAGCCAAATGCATAGCCGTTGGCGGAAGTTGGAGACATGCGTTCTTCAGCTGCTCCCAACTGGCATCCTTCGTGTGAAAACTGTAAAGTGTCTGCCTGTGCAAAGTGGAGAAGCTGAGACCTCATTGTTGTTTGATTTGATACTTATTCAACAATCCTGTATGGAAAGGCAAAATTCGCTTTCAAAGCTTTTCTGGTTTGCAAGAATTGAGACTACCAAGCCAAGTGGTGGTAGCTCGAGCAGACTTTCTGCGCCTGTGTTTCTCAGGGGAGAGGCCCTGTAGATCACATGCGTCCCCTAGCCAGACTTGGACTGCCTGAAACTGTGTTGCCCTGAAGGAAGAACAGATCATCAGGCCATGCGTGTTCAATTTTTCTGGAAACAATGTTGATAAGAGCGCACATCATGCACGGAGTTCTTATCACGAGCCGGGTTTGTAAACCATCAACATTTATCACGCTGGAGTCCTTCCTTCCTTCCTTCCTTCCCTCCCTCCCTCCCTCCCTTCCTTCCTTCCCTCCCTCCCTCCCTCCCTCCCTTCCTTCCTTCCTTCCTTCCCCTCAAGCTTTTCCTGCGAAACCCAAACCAAATCAACCACCGGCCAGGCCAAGCCCAAGCCGTATACCGACCGATAGTGCGTAGGCAAACCGAGCCAAAACAAAGCCAGGTCCAAGCAGTTTCTGATGCCCACCATGCTAGTAGTACTAGGAATCCATCATCAGCTGTACGCTGCATTTGCTTGTGACATGTAATTAGTATTTTTGCTCTAACTTGATGCCAGCCACGGGTATTCAACAATGGAGCAGCCATGTTGTTTGCAAGAGAAAGTATGGGTTTGGTGTTTGGTGTTCAAGGATTGGTCTCAGAAGCGTGAAACATGCAGCAAGCCGAAGGGGCAGATTGATTTGTTCGATACGTTGTCATAGTACACACTTGTGTCTGCAAAGTCCTGATGGGCAGCAACCAACAGGCATTTGACATGTTTCAGCTTTCCATGCTCTGACGGGCAATTTGACCACCATACAAGCCCTGTTGCTCAGCAGCACTTATTTATTTGCACATGAGTTGTAGATGTTCGATCTGCTCCTCGGTTACACATGAATTCAAACTCTGCGCAATCAAGACCATTTGATAAAAATCAGAGCAGGTGGGCCTTGTATGCCTTGTACTGTTCCTTTGAATGGAGCAGGAGCACCCCCAGACATTTCAGATGGGGCTGCCGGCTGGCGAATTGTATTACTTTGAGTGGAAATGGCGAGTGGCATGAATCTCAAATCCCATTGTTTTGTTGAATGCTGTTTTGTCGCTTTTGTCATTCCTACAAAGTCACACTTCAAGGATTTGCTCCCATGCTTGAGAGTCCTGTACTCTTTCACAAAGGTGCCAGTCCCACCTCAAGCAACTCACAGGACATACCATGAAATCGCATTCACCCAGAGGTTTTGAACAGTCTTCTGCTGCTAGCTCGTAGAGTTATGAGGGCTGTGGCCCGAGTTCTTCTCTTGTTGTGTGCAGGCAGGACTTGTTAATGAGTCAAAACATGTCGAAACTTATGCTTGTACTTGCAACTTTCTTGCAACTTTTATCCTTCGGTGGGGTCTTGTCCGCGCTCTACAATAATCATAAGTCGCACGTCACGACCAAAAAATATCTCGATTGCAGAAGAAGGAGAGCTTCAATTATGTCTACATATTCTTTCCGCACAAGAATCGGACTTTGATATGCTTTTTCCGCGCTGAAGGATTTAGTGTTTTAAATCTTGTAGCAGCTCTTGAGATTTCTTTAGCTATATGAGTGGATGTCATGCTTACCGTTTCGCAGGCTGTACAGCAGTAGAGCTGCCTGCGCAGGCAAAGTCTGATTCTTGATGCTCTTTTAATTATCTATCTCATGGCTCGAGGAGCGGACGTAGACTCCGGCTGATGAAGTTTGAGTCTTTTCTACTCGCAACACGTTCCTGTTCTTGCTTCGAAGTTCTGCAAGTCCATCGTCATTGCAGCAGTTTGCTGAAATGCGGTCACACATCCAGCCCAATCATATTCAATTGTTTTGCATCAACTGTACTGCGAGACCTCGTAGTTTGGCAATTCTCAGTTATTGCAAAGTCGGGGTTTAGGGACTCTCATCTCAACCATTTTTTTGTGGGCGTGTCAAATCAAAACAAATCGATATCAATGATATCAATGAGTTCAATATCACCAACGGGAGCAGCAGAATTTGATTTGACTCTGCGCTGTGGACAGGGCGTCCTCCGTCGAGAGGTTGACCGCGTGTTGAATACCTACTGGCGAGGGAGAGAAGGGTATGCCATCTCTGCCACTTGGTGCTACGTTTATGTTTGGGTAGAACCGCTGATGTAGACTTCTCAATTAATGTTCAGCCTGGCAAGATCCCAGGCTCGATGCTGCGGCCACCAAACAACAGTCATGACTTGTTCGTGAGTTGCCCAATGACCTTGTCCCATAGTGATTGGACAATCTAAGCACTGCAGTGACACTGCAGTGTGCTGGTAGTTTATGTTGCGCAGCCACGTGAATATGTTCTGCAGATATGGTGGAGTCGGACATGGTGAGGTTAGACGCATTATCATCAACCACATGGTGTGGGAGCACCTTTATAAGGCTATGGAAGTCATGGTCTTGAACGTCACCATTTCACAACCTTTGGCATCCCCAAAACAAGTTTCAGACGTGCCAAACATCGGTGCTGAATTGAACATCGGATAAATCCAAGGCCAAAGAAGAGCGACGAATCAACCGCGGTGATGGAAATCCAGGGCTGTATGGGGAACTAGCACCAGAAGGAGCTAGAATCTGAGCAGGTCTGAGTTGGAGACTGGCGTAGCCTTTTGAGTGGCTTGAAACTTGAATGGAGTGAAGAGCAGCATTCCTGCGATCCTTTGAGGCCCGGGCTACTAGTAGTAAGGTGCCTTGTTACTAGTAGCTTCTTGTTACTAGTAGTAATGGCCTCCAACTTCTGCGATGGC